AATTATTATTATTTTTTAAATAATATAAGTGCTCTTTTAGATTTTCTCTCTTTATCTTTAATCATGAAATAAAAGAATATGAGATGGTTAAAAATTATAGATTAATTTGGTAAAATAAAGTCAAAATAAAGAGAAATAAAAATTTTGACTCATTAATGTAATTTCTTACAGAATATAAATATTCATGTTTGTGTGGTAAAATTATATGTTCTTTCTCTTTCTTCTTCTTCTTCCTTTTTTTTTTTTTTTTTTTTTTTTTCTTGTTTTTTTTTAAATTTTTTTATTTTTTATTTTAAAAATGATCTTTTTCATCATTCATGTTCATGAGGACCCAAAATTGCCTTTAAATTGAAGTTTCATGGAAAAGAGGGAAAATATATTGCAAGTTCTCTCCTCTCTCTTTTACTTATTCTTTGAACAAGAAATTCTTTGCTTGCTGTAAAGTTGTATTATAAGTTCCAAGTTTGGAATGGGCATTGCGCCTAATGCAAGTGCAATATTAGTGCAGTTTTTCCATGAAGTTCAGAGAAGTTTGTGCAAATAATGCCTCAAAGGTATGGTCAACTCCTTGATTAGAGCAGTTTTATTTTATTTTTAATTATTATTATTAGTTAATTCAAAGAAATGGAGACTTGAAAACAGACACATTTTGCTTTTGCTTGAAAAGCTGAGTCCCCTACCAACTAGGTAATTAGGTAATGCCTATTAATTAAATTCAAATGTGCATTTTACAAACAGTTCATATGAATTTCACATTATACTTTATTAGAAATTATTATCTTCTTCACAAGTCACATTCCTCAAAACAAAATAATTGAATTTCATTGATAAAAGGCTATTGCTAGGTACTGAAATATGGTGAGATATTTTTTACATGATGTTGTTTGAGAATTTATTTATACCAAGATAATCACAAAAAAAACATACCTGTGAAAGGAATGAAAAAAACCTTATTCCCATCATCAATAAATTAAGGCATTTTATACATCAAATGTTCCGAAAAGCTCATTTAGGATGAACAGCAAACTGCCCGGATGGCTCGTCTTCTGCAGAAGTTGTTGAATGTTCTTAACCCTACATTTCATGAACACAAAGGCAGCCATAACGCTCAAAGAGTCAAACTGGTACCATAATTCGGCAATAGAAATTAAATTTACTGGACAATATAGAATATTGCATGACATAAGCTACAGAGAGCTATATGATTGATAATGTTGGAAGATTAATCTAAAGTTGTCTAAATTATTGATAGTGTTGGAAGATTATCTAGATTCATCTAAGAAGACCAAGTGATACTTGGGAAGGTAGAAAGTCATCTGGTAGATAAAGAATCTCATGATAATTGCTAGCACATGAAACATTTTGGTTCATTGTACGTATTAAATTCATGTACTAGAAGTATCCCTGGAGCGGTATAAATAGGCGAGTCATGTAAGTATATGGCATGTGCAGGCAATTGAGCACCAAGATATAAGAATTCAGTTCTATAGAAGTGAGTGTTTCTAAATTGTGTATTTACTAATTCAGTTGAATATATGTGAGTATATCCCATTTGTGTAGGTTTTCTGACGACATCTGATTCATCGTCAATCTCCTATTGCTCAATCTTCCTTTCTCCTAAGTCCATCCTTTAATCCTCAGCCGAAACCCCGACTGTAAACTCTTTGTTTTTCCTCACAACCTCTCTCTGTTTCTCTCTATTTCTCTGTTATGTCGCTCTGCCTTCACTGTGCCGTGAATAGGGTTCTCAAACCCTTGGCAGACGTACTGTTCTATATAAATAAGTTTTAACCAAAACCTAATTCCAATTGTAATGAGAACCAGAAACCCTAACTAAACCCTAGTCGGCCCAACGTAATCACAAAAAAAAAATAAAACAAAACCCTAAATTACAATTAACGCATTTAATTTATTTAAACAATTATGTCCATGAAAGCAAAAATAATAATAATACAATTAATGTAACTACAGAAAATCAAAATACAATTAAACAATTAATTAATTCAAATAAACACAATTAAATAAAACAATTCATTTAAATAAAATAATTAATTAATTAAACATGCAAATACACAATTAAATAATTAAAAATGCAATTAACCAATTAAAAATGTAATTAAATCATTAATTAAAATACCAAGACTATCCTTTTAAAATTTGGGGTATTGCATATGCATCCATGATATTTGATTTCCGTGATAATTGTATTTTTACTATCGTAGAAAATACATTCTAGTTGCTTACTTTTTCGTAAAGGGCATGTATGCATACTTTCTTCAAAATATTCTTGATTTTTGGGGTTTTAGTGTAATTATGTAAAATAATTATTTTTTGTCTTAGGGACCATTTTGCAATTTAATTTGGAAGTTATTTTAGAAAATGACCTTTTTGCAATTTTTGGAAAGTGTGATAAGTGTCACACTCTCATGGAGCCATTTGTTGGCATTAGGGTGGAGTCACTTGGAAGCATAATCTTGTGACATGTGGAGGGTGGAGATTCACCCACTTGTTGGCCTTGGATAGGTGCACTTGTTGGCTTGGATGGTTGACAAGTGTAGGGTTAGGATTAAGTCTAGGAAGGAGCCATGGATTGGTGACAAGTGTAGGCTCACAATTTAGTCTTGCATTAGTGTGTGTGTGAGAGAGGTAGTGTAAAAGCACATAGTGAGAGGAAGAATACTAGATCCTCCACTCACCATATTTCACTTTATCTCTTTCATTTCCTTTGTTCTCAAAACCCTAACCTAGCCACCATTGAAGAAAAGCTTGGTTTAGAGCTTATTTCTTCAATTTGGCCTCCTTCCACACATCTTAGACCATTAACCTTGAGAAGTAAAAGTTTCCTCTCACTCTTCTCTACAAAACCCTAGATTTGTGATCCATTTTAAGCTTGGTTGCTTTAGATTATAGAGATTCAATTCTCTATTGAGGTAGGGGTGGTAGTATGTTTATACTTTAAGTGTTTTATGATCCTTTGGGGTTTAATATATATTGTGTACATGCTTTTAATATTGTAGTCTTGCATATTATAAGTGTGGAGGGAAAAATTCCCCCTCCAGTAAGAATCGTCCACGTTATCACACTACAAATTTTTATTTCATTCAGCAAGGGCTCGATCGATATCAAGCCCAAATGGGGAGAACCCAATCCGGAACAAGCCCAGGCAAAGTCTTGCTTCCATACAGACTGCTGAATCAGGCCATTTAGCCTATTTACTAAACCTAGATGCGTACAATCTTATTTAGGCCCAGAAAAGACGTCAACAACCCGGGGCGCCAAGGTTGAACTCCAAGCCCATATGTCGAATCGTTTGGATTAGCCCACATGAAGCCCAATCTCAATTAAAGGTAAACCAGTCCTGCTAGACAAAGGATTCAGCAAAGAAAGCAAGTTGTGTGCAACTAAAGTTTTGCATGGAAAGAATTGTAAAAAGGAAAGGATTTTAATTGTAAAGAATGTCATATATGGAATGGATTGGAGGATAAGCCAGACGAGTCCTACCATAATTCTACCACCTTATTTCTTATAAATAGAGGCCTAAACCTCCAATAAAAAACATCGAGCAATTTATATTTCTCCTTGAATATTACAATTGCTTGTCTTGTGTGAGTTATATTTTTCTTTTTATTTATTTCTAATAGAGAGAAATTTTGCACCTACACTTTAGTGCCGTCTGTGGGAACCGTATAGAAATATACACCCACTATTGTTTCAAATCATTTTTTTTTATTCAGATCTGGGATGTCGAACGGAGAATCTGCAACAGCGGTTGACCAGCAGATGGAATTGATGCAAAAGATGCGAGAAGAGTTCTTGCACCAATTCGAAACACTTTGTCAGGCGAATGAAACCAGCATGGCCCAGATTGCTTTGCTTCAGCAGCAAAACAACACCCTACAGACAACTATGGCTCAGATGACACCATAGCCACCACCATTGATGTGACCGCGCCCCCTCCCATCCAAAATATTCCTCAGGTTAACGAGTCTCAGATCACTGGGGCCCAGCCTATTGAAGCTTGGCCCAACGAAGTTCAGCAAGAGCAGATGACAAGAACCGAGGTGATTGCTTTAAACAATCTTTCTCGTCGCACGCAAGACGAACAGGCCGAGTCTAGCCGTAAGCTTACAGTATGGTCTAATGGCATTCCAGATAGTGCGGGCGTACAGGATGTCTTTGACGAGAAAAGGCTTTTGAGAATTCAAACACCTGCCGAGATGGAAAGAAAGCATAAGAATTCCCTAGTAAAAACTCCATTCACTGATGATGTGTATCTGGTTGAAAGACCTAAAAAATTCACTATGCCTTTCTTTACTCAGTTTGATGGTACGGGAGATCCTTCTTGGCACTTAGATCACTGCGCACAGAAGATGGCCCTAGACAATCACAACGATCCATGGATGTGCAAAGTTTTTCCTACCAGTCTAACAGGAACTGCGTTGGAATGGTTCAGGAATAGGCCACACAAATCTATTCCGGACTACGAGACTCTGTGCACTATGTTCCTGGCACAGTATTGCGAAAACAAGAAGCAAAAGAAGAGCATTGCTAGCCTCTTCATCATAAGGCAGAAGAAAGGTGAAACATTACAGGATTTCTTGTCCAGATTCAACATAGAGGCTTCGAAAATAGCAAATTGCCATCCTACTACTGCAATATAAACGTTCAAACTCGCAATGATTCAAGGAACCAAGTTCCATACGTCCCTGGTTAAGTATTCCCCTCCGGATATGCAGACTCTTAATGCTAGGGCACAGATTTACATCTGACTTGAGGAGAATGTGGCCCATCGAGCGCAGCATGCCACCCTCGTTATAGTGGAGAATAAGCCTCAGGAAAGGGTTTCAAATTCTAAAAGCCAAAAAAGCCAGCACGCTCCAACACCAATTACTTAGATATCCAAGAAAAGGCAAAGGACAGAGGAAAGGTTTACACCTCTTTGCACATCCTTAGCTCGGTTATTCCAAGAAAATAAGTTGAGGTTCGCAGCCCCTCAGCCAATGAAGCAACCTTTGGAGCAAAAAGACAAGAACAAGCACTGCGCCTACCACAGGGATTACGGGCATGCGACTAACAATTGCAGGTCCCTTAGGCGGCAAGTGGAAAATATGATAATAAGAGGTGAGTTGGCAGACTACCTCACAACAAAGGAGTACGTGAAGCCCCGGGACGTCAATCCTCGGAAAGTAGAAGGTAATCAAGTGAAGGTCATCCATGCAATACATGGGAGATCGGAGGATGATCAAGAGTCAGAGGAAGTGTATAGATCCAAACTGAAGGCAGCCCATAAGCGAAGGAGGTTATCCTCGATGAACACTATTACTCTGGGCAATATCAATATTGGGTTCGGCGATGTGGACTTATCCAGAGTTCAGCTCCCCCACGAGGATCCGTTGGTCATCAGTCTCTTGGTGGCAAATTACATGATCAAGAGGGTTTTGATAGACCTGGGTAGTAGAGCTAATATCATCACGAAGGTCGTCTTTGAGCAGCTGGAGATTCCATCATCATCAATTCGGCCCACCTCTAGCCCCTTGATGGGATTTGATGGCACAAAGGTAAACCCCCTCGGGGTAATTGACCTATCCGTTACTGCAGCAAAGAGGACACTGAAGGAGAACTTTGTTCTAACAGAGATCCATCCCTCTTATAATCTTATTATGGGACGAGGCTGGATCCACCGAATGAATGGGGTTCCATCTACCCTTCATCAAGTGATGCGATGCTTGTCTCCGGACGGTAAGGAGGTTATTAATCTTTGGGGAGATCAAGTCGCAGCCAAAGAATGCAACATATTAACACAGAATGAAGAAAGAAGGATACTTAAGCATCCTCGGCCAGTTATGACTCCCAAGAATGTGTCCAAATAGCAATCACAGAGCCCTTTGCCCAAGTATCTGAAAGTAGAGGATAAAGATGAAGCTGAAGCTACAAAGCCTACTGAGGAATCCCTCGAAGCTGTTAAAGTAATCCTCGGTGATCCTCAGAAGGTCACCTGTATAGGTTCTTCCCCCATAACCGAAGAAAAGAAAGCGTTAATTGATGTCATACAACGGAACGCAGATGCATTTGCTTTGGAACATTCAGATATGGTATGAATCAATCCTTTAGTGTCATACCATAGCCTGAAGGTGGATCCGGTGTTTAAACAAGTCAAACAGAGGCACAGAAGGTTCGCTCCTGAGTGCAACCAAATTATAGCTGAAGAAGTGAGCAAATTGCTTCAGGCGGGCTTCATCCGAGAGGTGTACTACCCATAATGGCTCTCTAACGTGGTAGTAGTTCAGAAAAAGAATAGAAAATGGAGGGTTTGCATAGATTTTACCAATCTCAACAAAGCCTGCCCTAAAGACAGTTTTCCATTACCTAAAATAGATCAAATGGTTGATGCTACTACTGGTTTTGAAAGACTCATATTTCTTTATGCATACTCCGGCTATAACCAAATCCCTATGAATCCAGAGGATGAAGAGAAAACTACTTTCATAACAGAGAAAGGCACCTACTGTTATAGAGTTATGCCCTTCGGACTCAAGAATGCTGGAGCAACTCACCAGTGCCTTGTTAGCAGGATCTTCAACGAGATATTGGGAAAAACGGTTGAGGCCTATATCGACGACATAGTGGTCAAAAGTGTGAAGAAGGAGGAACATCCTAAGCACCTTCAAGAGGTCTTTGACACTTTGAGAAGGTATGGTATGAAGTTAAACCCTTTGAAGTGCTCTTTTGTGGTTTCTTCAGGACAGTTCCTCGGCCATATTGTAAACAAAAGTGGAATTGAGGTGAGTCCAGCACAGGCTCAAGCCCTTATACAAAATCAAGAGCCGAAAACCCACAGGGAAGTACAGGTTTTGACTAGTTGAATCGCAGCTCTCAGTTGATTTATCTTTCGCTTGTCTGAAAAATGCAAACCATTCTTTGATGCTATAAGGTCTAAGAGCAAATACATATGGGGACCTCAGCAGTAAAGTAGAGAAGATCATACTAGCATTGGTATATGCAAAGAGAAAGCTTCGGCACTACTTTGAGTCGCATAGCATCAAAGTTCTTACTAATTATCCCATGCGAGCTATTCTCTCTAAGCCAGACTTATCTGAAAGAATAACTAAGTGGGCAATTGAACTCAGTTCCTTTGATATATCTTATGAACCGAAGGTGTCACACAAAGGACAAGCATTGGTTGATTTCCTCTTGGAGTATGAGGATAAGCCCGAAGAGCCAGGCCATTCGGAGCCACAATGGGAACTTCGGGTGGATGGTTCCTCGAACCTGGTTAGTGTCAGGGTCAAAATCGTTATCATAACCAATCGTTATCATAACCACCGAAGGCACCAAGCTGCAACGATCAATCCATTTGACTTTTCCTGCCACTGACAACGAGGTAGAATATAAAGCCTTGCTCGCGGGGCTTCGGTTAGTAAACCAGCTCCAGGTAAGGTGTCTAAAAGTTTTTAGTGATTCTCAACTTGTTTTGAATCAGGTAATAGGCCAGTATCAGCCCAAGGAAGATAGAATGAAAGACTACAGGGAGGCTGTGGAGAATGCCACGTGAGGGTTCGATCAAATCGAATTTCATCAGGTACCTCATGAGGAGAATTCCGAAGCAAATCAGTTGGCTGCAGCAGCATCTTCTTCAGATGAAGATTTGGTCCGGATTGTACCAATTGACATCCTGGATGAACCAAGTATCAGCCCTCGGCAAGAGATAATGGTGATCCCAGATGTTTCGTGCGAGCCATGCTGGATGGATCCATTGGTAGCTTACCTCAAGGAAGGAACTCTTTCGAACCAGAAAGCCGAGGCACGGAAGCTCAGGCTCACCGCAGCCAAATATTTTATCATCAATAATCAATTATATCGGAGGTCATTTTTAAGTCCTTACCTGATATGTTTAAGTCCCACTGAGGCCCTCACGATCCTAAAACAGATTCATAATGGGGATTGTGGCAACCACTCTGGAGGCAGATCCTTGGCACATAAGGTCCTAACTCAAGGTTATTTCTGGCCTTATTTGCATGCAATCGCGAATCCATGGCCATTTGCTTAATGGGGGATTGATATGGACGGTCATTTGCCCACAATTGTGGAGAAAAAGGAATATGTGCTACTAGCCACAGATTACTTCACTAAATGGGTCGAAGCCGAGGCTTACTCAAGCGTGACCCATGAATAAGTGAAGAGTTTTCTATGAAACAATATAATCTGCCGATTTGGGGTGCCGAAGGTTATCATGATGGACAATGGCCCGAACTTGTTCTTCGCCGAGCATGGAATTAGGCAGAAGCTGGCTGCAGTTAGCCATCCTTAAGGAAATGGGCAGGCTGAAATAACTAACCGAACCATTTTCAGCTGCTTGAAGAAAAAGTTGGAAAACCTTAAATCAAAATGGTACGAGAATCTACCTCAGGTGCTTTGGGCATATCGAACCACCCCGTGAAAGCTAACGGGAGAAAACCATTTTGCCATGGCTTATGGGTCTAAGGCTGTTATCCCCACAGAATCAATAATCCCGACTCTTCGAACACAGTTAGTGCTCGAAGGAAACAATGATCAATAGCTCGAGTACAACCTCGATCTCTTAGAAGAAAAAAGGGATGCTGCAGCAATTAAGCTCACTTCGTACCAACAGCAGTTGCGTAACAGTTATAATACGCGAGTCAGGTTCAGAAGTTTTGTGGAGGGCGATTGGGTACTGAAGCAAGAAAGAACCCATGTAAAGAAGTTATAACCCAATTGGACAGGACCCTACAGAGTTACAGAAGTGGTAGGGAAAGGAGCTTACCGGCTAGCTGAAGCTAATGGACGACCAATTGCGCATCCATGGAATGCCATACACCTAAAAAGGTACTATCATTAGGCAATTTAGTCCATTTAATTTTCTTTTGCAAACATAAATCTTTGTCGATTGACACATATGGCCGTTTATAAGCCTACACAATAAAAGTTTCTTGATCAATACAATTCTTTAATCCTTTTTCACTTTCAACTTTAGTGATGTGGGATTTTACTTGTTACTACTTTCTTTGTCGTCATAAGGGGCAGTACATACACCCTACCCTACTAATATGATGATTATTATAAATATACTACGACAAAAGAAAGAGATTTTTACAAGCAAAACAAACAAAACAAAGCTATATTTTTCACTTTTTTGGTTGGTCAATAATTATTCTGCAAGTCTTTGTACTTTAGAATGAGAATATATTGCGATAAATGCCTATCAAAAATTCAGGCATTATTTAGTCTATGGATCCAACGGACACTCTTTGTCATATCGTATATTCTCTCATTTTTTGACGCAAAGTACAAATGTATGTGGCTATGGTCCCACATCGTTAAAAAATACCTCTATGCATTTCTTTATATAGGGAAATATTAAAGTATTTGGGTGCATTGCAAAGAGGGCCCGCTGGTAACAGTTACGGCCCAGCCCAAGTTGGGTTCAAAGCCTTGGTACCAGCGGGCATTCTTTGCAATAATTCTTTTTAAAGCCCACCTTTTGGGCCTATATTATAAATTCTATTCTTTGTCCCATATCCAATAGGAATACAAGTGATATATAGTTAATATAGAAGTGGCACACCACATCTGGTTGCCACGAAGAGAGTCTCTATGGAAGATAATCTCCCAGCAAATGTATAGGAGGCTTTACAGTCACTGTTACTCTTTTTCTTGGCCTCACATGATTGTTGAATCTTCAGCCCATCTTGCATACTTGGTAAATTCTCCAGCTTTGGACCTCAAGAGTTCGGCTCAGTATAGTTCCTCTAAGGCCCAGTGCCGAGGAACGCATCGCTTCGGACCTCAAGAGTCTGGCTTAGTACAGTTCCTCTTAGGCCCAGTGCCAAGGAATGCATCACTTCGGACTTTAAGGGTCCGGCTCAATACAGTTCCTCTCAGGCCCAGTGACGAGGAACGCATCACTTTAGACCTCAAGAATCTGGCTCAATACAGTTCCTCAAAGGCCAAGCGCAGAGGAACACATCGCTTTGGACCTCAAGAGTCCGGCTTAGTATAGTTCTTCTCAGGCCCAGTGCTGAGGAACGCTTCACTTCGAACCTCAAGAGTCCGGCTTAATACAGTTCCTCTAAGGCCTAGTGCCGAGGAACGTATCGCTTCGGACCTTAAGAGTCCGGTTCAGTATAGTTCCTCTCAAGCCTAGTGCTGAGGAATGTATCACTTCAGACCTTAAGAGTCCGACTCAATACAGTTCCTCTCAGGCCTACCGCCAAGGAACACATCGCTTCGAACCTCAAGAGTCTGGCTCAGTACAGTTCCTCTTAGGCCCAAGGCCTTGGAATGCATCACTTCGGACCTCATGAATTCGACTCAATACAGTTCCTCTCAGGCTCAGGGCCAAGGAACGCATCGCTTCAGACCTCAAGAGTCTGACACAATACAATTTCTCCCAAGCTCATAGCCAAAGAAGCATATCACCTCGGACAATTTAAGTTCAGAGTGATGTTACTAGGGTTTGAGCACTACTGGGGGCAGAAGTTCTCTATGGTAACATACCTACAGATCCTCCTTAATGAACTAATAGTGTATAACCCATGGAAAGTTATGTCCCACATCGGAATAATACAAGGTAAATGAGTATTGATATACCTACTTCATACAAATCAATGACAAGAAGGGTGTTCCCTTGACGGTTAAAGTACTAGACCGAGAAACCAACATCGGTATTAATTAAGCGGTCAAAGGGATTCCCTTCTTATCATCTTTCCTATTTTTGCTTCGGACCATAGGAGGTGCGGAGCCCACAGGTAATGGTTCTTCCTCAAGATATAGGAAAACATTACTACTTGGTGATACTATGAAAATCAGAAACATGCAAATCGCCAAAAAGTAAATTTAACCATTACATTCTAGAATTAAAAATATATTGTCTCATCATTAAGCGGACATTCCACAATTCAAAGTAAAGACTACACAATCCTACTTCCTTTTTGGATCAAAAGAAGCAAAGTCAAAAGTATCAACCACATTCGGGGTTGGAAGCAATATCTGAAAGAGGTAGAGGTCTTGGGGCTGGTGGATTTGAGGAACTTGGAGCTGGAAGGTCCTCTGGATGAGCCTTCGCCATCTCAGCGAAGAG